TCCCCAGACGTCGTATCTCATGGTGCACAAGGGTTCCACAATGCTAGTGATTGGGATTCCGGGGACTGTTTCTATGGAACCCAGTGGTAAACTTTCTTCCCAACAGTCTAGCCACAGATGCCCCTTGAACTGGCTTATAGGCATCCTGTACTTGAACAAGTATGCGACAAGATGTTGCATGCTTTTAGATAGATTTGGTGGAATCTGGTAGTGCATGGCTGTGACCAGCCAGTGCAGATCTGAAGGGCTTGATGCTTTATGTGGTATGCAATCAATGACCATATTATAAATCACTATGCCAAGGTACCACATGGCAGTTTCAAGTCCCTGGTAGCCTCTGCCCTCCAGTCACTATCACTTAGGCTAAAAAGAAAAGGTGACCATGGACCCCCTCCAGCTTTTGCCAAGTGGTGACTTCTTTAGCCATTCCAATCACTTTTGGCATTTCCTGTCACATCCACTAGGATAGTCTCCAGTTTTATTCCTGGGTGGGCAATGTGTCTTTCATGAACATAATTAACTCTAACACCACTGAGTGGAAAATGAAGTGTGCCTCCTCTTTCTCCAGATGCCCCCGACACAAATTCCATGATCAAAGAAGGCTTTTCTGGCCTGTCAGCTAAGAAGAGTTTACTCATATTTGGATGCTAGAGAGATTCCATGAGGTCCACCACCTCAGTGGAGATGTTGCAGGCTTTGATGCCCCTGTCAAATATCTTTACAGCTACCCAAGTGTCTGTGTGGATGAGACAGACATGCTTCATCTCTGCAAATGTGCCATGGGCAAAGATCATTGAGATCTTGTCATTGTCTTTGAGGGTTTCTTTGATTATCAGAGGGGCTGGCCTTGAGCTCCTCCTCCAATGCCACCATGTCAACTTGTGGAGAATGACATCACTGCCCAATGCTAAATAAAGAACAAAAAAGAAAAAGAAAGAAAGAAAGAAAGAAAGAAAGAAAGAAAGAAAGAAAGGTGGAAGGGAGGAAGGAAGGAAGGAGGGAAGGAAGGAAGAAAGGAAAGAAGGAAGGAAGGAAGGAAGGGAGGAAGGAAGGAAGGAAGAAAGAAAGGAAAGAAGGAAGGAAGGAAGGAAGGGAGGAAGGAAGGAAGGAAGAAATGAAGGAAGGAAGGAAGCAATAAAGCAGGTCCAGGAGAGGAGTTCATGGCTAAAAATTTCCGTATCATAAAAACCAAAGTTATCTTGAACAACTGAATGACAAACTTCAAGGTTATGGAAAAGTAAGAACAAACCAAACCCCAGAGCATAGCCAACAAAAATAATAAAGCTCAGAGCTAGAATTAATAAAGATGTTCAAAGTTCATTCCATTCATGTATGGAAATGTCACAATAAAGTCCCTTGTCTTGTGCAGTTAACATATACTAATGCAAGTTTTGGACTAAAAAAGAAACCCAAGTTTAAAAAAATGACAAACATAAATTGTTTATGTGGTGGTTTGAATGAGAATGATGCCCATAGGCTCATATATTTTAATATTTAATCTCTGGTTGGTGGAACTGCTTGGGAAGAGCTAAGAGGTGTCTCACTCAGGCTTTGGGGTTTCAAAACCCAATCCTTCTCTCTACTTTGCGGTTGTGTCTCAAGATGTAAGCTCTCAGCTACCACTCCAGTGCCATGCCTGCCTGCCCCCATGCTCCCTGTCATGATGGTCATGGACTCTGACCCTCTGAAACTGTAAATTCCAAACAAACTCTTCTATAAGTTGTATAGGTCATAGTGTTTTGTCCCTGCAATAGAAACGTAACCAAGACAGTTTAAAATTAAAACTGCAATAATTAATAAAGAAAACAAATATATTTGCATAAATCAAACCCAAAAGCAAAACCAATAAATAGATAAAAATTTTAAAAACCAAAACAAGCCAGGCAAGGTGGTGCACATCTTTAATCCCAGTACTCTAGAAGCAGGGCAAATGGATTGCTGTGAGTTCCAGGACAGCCTGGTCTACATAATGAGTTTCAGACTAGTAAGGAACTAGAGTCTCAAAAACAACAAGACAAATAAAAAAGAACATAAAAATAATCAATAAACTGGCAAACTTACTAAGTAGAGGTCCAACTGATCTGGAAAACCTGAGTTTATCAGAACCAACATCCAAGTCCAAGCTCTCTCTACCCAGACAACAGCTTCTCTGTGTAAGCACAAAATCCAGCTGGAGCCAGGGCCTTACCTGAGCAGGCATCTATAGTTACAATGTCTCCTTGTGAGATCACAGACAGAGCAAACATGGCAAGTCATGACCCACGTGCCTTTCTTCTTTCTGTCTCCAGGTACCAGTTATTTTCTCATGGTTGTTCACATCACCTTGACAAAAAATGACACAGAGAATGACACTTTGCTCAGGCTTTCAGAGGGCAGGAACATATGGCGGGGACCTCGTCTGGTGGCACTGGCAACAGGGTGTGGTGCAGCTGGTTACATTGTATCCACAGTCTCCCAGGCCTCCCAGAAACCCAGCGTTCCCAGCTAGGCCCCACACTCAAAGGATCCCCAGCTTTCCAAAACAGTGCCACCTACCCGGGACCAATGGTACAAACACATGAGACAGTAAAGGACATTTACCATCACACCATAAAAAGGGCCCTTTTCATTTTCTTAATGTAGTGACCCCGCTACTGACAGACTCAGGAAGCTCTGTGCTTCCCTGGACTAAACATACTGGCATTGACTAGTTAGTGAATATAGGGTGCTTTAGTGGACTTGTGACTTGGGCCCTAAAATTCTGCAGTAATTTGACTCTTAAAGATCTCATCTCTTTACTCTAAGCATGCAATCTCTTTTCATTTAAACTCCAGTCAATGGATTTAAAGAATGGTAGCCCCTCACCGATGCTGCAATGCACAAGGATCGTGTGTACAGGTCTGGAGGTACCAGACCCCTCCAGGGCAGGTCCATGTGTGGGGCCACATCTCTGTCTTCCCAGGTTTAGGAGCACTATAGCGAAGGTGAGAGTGCCATGTGTTGGGAAGGTGACCAGGTGTCTCAAGGCTCCATAGGCATAGTCTAAAGAAACCATCGGCTTAATTCTCTTCTCCATACTCTTCTTGGCCACCCCTTCTGCCCAGCCCAGGGACCAAATTTTTTCCCCATGTTCAAGCATCCTGGTTGCAGTGCACTGAAAATGTCCATAGGAGATAGTTATTGACAACTATGCTCATTAAGCCAATTAAAGGTCTTAAGTCCTTTTTATTGATGGCCAGACAAGAGTGGGCTTGTGCCTCTGAAAAGTCTCTTGGTGTCCAAACTCAGGGATACAGAGTTTTTAAAGACAAACCCCACAAAGACCATACTTTACGTCAAAGTTAGAGTCAGGGTAACCTTCAAACACTCATGACTGGCACAATAATTTTAGACATAGCATGCATTTTTTTTACTTATGTATTTTTTAATTATTTTAGTTTACTTATTTAGTTACTACATCAGGATCATGGTCAAGGCCATGGAAATCTCATATGAGTTGCCAAGGCAGGAGTGCTGGTTGAGGGCAGGTTGTAGAGGATTGCGAGCTATTTAAACAAACACAAACTGGAGACAAAACAAGATGGCATTACTGAGGTCATTTCAGTACCACACAGGTCTCATCTTGTTTAGGGAAGATGTGGCCCTCTTATTAATCCCACAGATTGAGAATAAGACCACTACCACAGTTTAAAGTCAAATTTGAAGCAAGCTTTAATTAAATGCTGGCTGGGTGGATGGGCTTTGGCCAGGTTCATACAGGTTCCCAGGAAATGGCCCAGAATCACAGTTTGCAGCAGCTTAAGAAGGAAAACCCAAAATTCATTGCATTTCCCATCAGGTTCAATCAGGGGCAATCATGTATTCTGATGTATGCCTATGTACCTCCTGCCCACATGGGATCAAGCACATCTGGCATAGAAGGGTCAAACAAACTTGTTTAGGAGAGTAAAAACGTGTGGCTTATCATCTCCCATAAACAACAGCTTCCAGCATTTCAGCAACTATCTATCCTTGGGCAAGGGGCTTGCAGAGCAGAGGCATTTTTATCTCATTAATCTCCTAGGCATAATAATTGAAACTTAAAATGTAACTTTGGCTGTCACACTCCCTAGGGAAATGTCTTCACCTGAACATCAGTGGCAGTAATGGTTGTCGCTAGCCAAGGATAGGAGTATGGACTTGTTGCTGCCCTGGCAGTGGTTCAGCAGGCTCTAGCTTGTCCCCCCATCCCTAGAGAAGTAGAGAAGAGTTCAGTATAGACACGAAGTACTCAATACTTTAGCTCTTCTAAGGCTAGATTTATTTGTTCCTGGGTTTTTTTGTTTTGTTTTGGTGGTGTGTGTGTGTGTGTGTGTGTGTGTGTGTGTGTGTGTGAGTGGTGGAGATGGTGTGGTGTGTGTGTGTGTGTGTGTGTGTGTGTGTGTGTGTGTGAGTGGGGGGGAGGGGGTGGGGTGTGTGTGTGTGTGTGTGTGTGTGTGAGTGGGGGGGAGGGGGTGGGGTGTGTGTGTGTGTGTGTGTGTGTGTGTGTGTGTGTTGGAGGTGGTGTGGTGTGTGTGTGTGTGTGTGTGTGTGTGTGTGTGTGTCCTGGAACTCAAGATATCCACCTGCCTCTGCCTCTCAAATGCTGGGATTAAAGGCGTGCGCCAACCCCACAGGGCTTGTGGGTGGTTTTAACAGCAGCTATAAATTGTGGTAAACAGCAGAGGAAGCAATTGATTACAATAGAAGGTGCATGCTTCCTAGTCTTCGTCCTGCCGAACAGCCTGTTTCTGGAAAAGACCAAATGTACGTGTGCTGGCTTAGTTGGTAATAAAAACAATATAGAATCACATACACGGAGGAAGCTTTAGTCAGGACCCGGCAAGGAGAAAAGCGTATTTTAGGGGAAGAGGCTGAAAAACCCAAAGTCAAGCGTTGCCTGGGCCAGAGCAGGCTCAGGGAAAGGCGAGCCCCGGAGCGGAAGTAACAAGCACAAACTCAGCACGTGGGCGGGTTTATGTAGCGGTGGCGGAAGAGAGGCGGCTGCGCTGGGGCGTGGCGAGCAGGATGGCGGCGCAGCTTGGCCCGCACGAGCTGCTGCACGTCTTCTCCTTCTTGGAGGCCCGCGACCTGCTGCTCGCGGCGCAGGTGAACAAGGTGAGGTTCGGCGGGGGGGGCCCGCCGCCGCGCTCGCCCGCGTCCCCATCCAGGAATTGGCTTTGCGGTCGGCTCCCTTCCTTGTCCGGTGGCCTCGGGTGGCGCCTCCTCACCACCTACCCTTTGCCTCCTTGACCGCGCCCCTGCCCTGCTGGTCACCTGCGCTATCCATACCCTGCTGTGCGCCTCCTCCCAGGGACTCAGTACAAAGCGACAAGATCACTGTTGGTGTAAGGTACCTGTTTTCCCCTGCCAGATTCATTACTGAACTGTGACAGAAAAGATGCTAAATGCTCTTCAGTGCCTACCCCAAGTACCCAGTGCATGCCTTGAATTTTAGTCTCTTCATTAAGTGAATCAGTGTTCATAAGGTTAGGCAAATCCTTGCTTGAACAAAGCATTTAGATAGGCAGTTTCAACCCAGTTCAGTTTTGAAACTTTGACCCACAGAAAGATACCAATACTATTCATTCAGATCTGGTCAACTTTGCCAGAACCTACAAACTGCAAGTGTGCCATGCGTTAGACTTTATCAAAGGACCCAGAGTGGACATCAGGCGGTGAGGCTGAAGGTCCTAGGCCCCAAGTATGTATATAGGCATCTCCTATTTTTTTTTTTTCTTTCGTAGTTCTGGGGAATGCACCTAGAGCCTTGAGCTAGTCATGCACAGGACCACCCGAGCCCTCGTGTCTGCCGGTCTTGGCTTTGAAACCTGAAGTAGTTTGACTGTGTCCTTAGCCACTTTTTTCCTTTGCTACTCTGTAACACTTCTTAGGGCCTGCATCTTTTACCTGTCTGTTGCCAAAACTTTGTGAGCCTGTGCACTTACCTCACATGGCCCCGGTTTGTAACTGTGTTGTCTTCTATACTTTTTCCTTACCGCACCCTGGAGAGAAAATAGAGGGCATGACTGTCTGCCCACAGCAGCTGTTTAACATCTTTGTTTATCCATTGCAATGGCTAAAGTTATGTTTTAAGTCTAAATTACTGTGCTTAGATCTCTGTAGACAAAACTGCCTCTAGCCTGTAAGCCCCACTTGCCCAAGGACAGGTAACTTCCTGCAATGCTGGGAGCAGTTATTCATGTGAGATAGCAAGTCATGTGTTTTCACTTCTGTAAACAAGGTTGGCTGACCCAGCCGCACAGGGTGTGCTTGATCACATGTGGGCAGGAAGTACGTCAGGACGTCTGCTTACCCCTTATTGGACAGAGGAGGGAAGTGCATAGCCTTGTAGGTCCTGCCTTTAGAATTTCCTGTCAGTTGTAATCTGGTGCCATTCTCTGAGAATTCTAGGTATGGGCCTGGCCAGTGTCCATCGCCCTGGCCAGTATTTGATAAAGGTTGTTTCAGATTTGGCTCAAAAGTTGTGGTAGTGGCCTTATTCCTACCCAATGAGATTAACATAATGAATGAGTACATGATCTCTTCCTCTGAAAATGGGTTAGTTAACACACTACACACAGGGCACTTTTACCTTTTTTTTTTTTTTTAAATGAAAAGGCATTTTTAAAATGTCTTGTCTTCCATTTCTATCCCATGCCTCAAGTCCCACCAAAACTGATGGAAGCAGGGTGCGTACTCAAGGTGGCACGGCCTGCTATAAGAACCTGGCAGAGTCTGGGGAACACCTGGGTTAAATTTGGTTTCTTATATGGAACCGATGTGGCCCAGTGTTAAATTTAGAACACAAGCAAAAAAAGGTATCCATTTGGCAACACAAGGCCTCTGGTGGGGAGGGAAGACAGGGATCCTCACTTCTCCCAGGTGTTTCTCAGCCCAGACAGCGCCTCACAGCTCGAAGTCTGTGAGGATAGTTTTAAACAAATGCAGGAAACTACCGAGTTTCCATCCCATGTTTATACACCAAGAAACTTGAGTGTCACACAGTGACTTCTCTGAGGTGATGATGAGTCATGGCAGGGCTTGAGTTGAGTCCCCAGCTGTGTGTGCATAGTAGGCTGGCACAGTTTAGAGACAGAGTTTGAAAGAGAAGTTCCTTCTGCCCTTTGGTATTGCCAACTTTTTGTAGTCACAATCTACCCATAAGTTAAATGAGGCCAGTAATCTTGAAGATGGCTAGCATTTGTTCTGTAGAGCACTAGAGCACACCACACGTTACATTTTCTATTTGAGAACTGACATCCTAGTTGGCTTTCAATGGGAAGACGCTTAGATCTTTGCTTGGTTTGATTTTGCAGAATGACAACATCATTACTGGATGAAAAAAAACTTCTTTATTTTTTTTCTTTTTTGAGTTAGAGTCTCATAGTTCAGGCTGGCCTTGAACTAGCTGTGCAGCCGAGGATGACTTTAAACTTATCATCCTGCCTCCACCTCCCAAGTGCTCTGACTTCAGTCATGCAACAGCACACTCAGGCAGCCTAAGCATCTTGCAGATAGTTCTACAGAGAGAAGGGAGAGAAGGGATTGCGTAGGACCCGCCCTGGAAGACTGTTCCCATTGGATCCTTGTGGCAACTCTGAGACATCCCCATTGCTGCAGTCCCACATAAAATGTCTCAAGTCATTCCAGTCCTCACAGCAAGCAGAGAGATCTTACTTAAACGCAGCTTGACCTGGGTACTCCCCATTCAAAATGCTCCAGTAGCTTATCAGTATTTTTACATGGAGACTTTTAGGAGTGGCAGAAGCCACCCAGCCAGCTCCTTTAGCTGCTTCTTGAACCTAAACCTTATGCTCTAACTGAGGCAAATTAGTAAACTATCCTTTTCATAATTATGAATCATGTGTACATCCAATGTATTTCCCTACACTGCTGTAGAACAACTCTCCACTATTTGATTACTTATTGTTTCTCTGAGTCCCTAGGCCCTGACTCATCAACCCCATTGAGTCTCTTCTTTTTCATCATTTGGCGATTTTTAATTATCTACTGTTCTTAATGCGCCAGGTTGAGCCATGTTGGATGCAGAAACTGGATTGGTTTTGTTCTTTGTCCCCTCCGTGGTGTTTGGCAAGCTAGGTGCTTAATACTTATTGACTGACCAGAAACTGTCTTTCCCTGTCCTTATTCTAGGTCTGGAATGAGGTATCAATGACCAAGGAACTGTGGAGGTGAGTGAAGGAGGAGCAAGGTGGTCCTGTAAAGGAGAGACGTCCACTGGAAGTGGTTTCCAAATGCTGCCATCACGTTTGCCTCTATTGAGGACGGAGAAAGGATTACTCCCAGTCCTTACCCATGAGGGAATCCCTCTGTGTTTAATAGTGTGCATTGGCAGGACTGCCAAACTCAACCAGCTGGATTCATTTCCTGCAGTTTCTGTCAGTATAGTCAAATTACTTAAAATAAATAAAAAGTAAAAAAAATTAATGGGTCCACTTTATAGCCAGGATGGCCTTATACTTACTTTGTAGCCTACGCTAGCCTTGAGCTTGTAATCTTCCTGCCTAACCCTCCTGAGTGCTGGAACTGGAAGCATGTGCCACTGTGCCCAGCTCAGATGACCTCTAACAGTACAACAGCATAGGAATATAAGATTGTATAAATGAAAAGAATCACCGTTGAAAAGAGAAATCTTTAAAACATTAAATTTTCTAAGTCCCTTTAATTTATTCCTTCTTTGGAACCTGATATCTTTTATTTTATACTAAGATAAAACTAACAGCAGGGGGGTGGGGACCGGCCCTCTCCTATCTCTGGCTGAATGTAGGGCCCTTGATGGTTAGGTAGGAGTTACCTTAATGGGGAACAACTGTGCAAATGTGAAGCTTCCTCGAAGCTGGAAGGGAGTCTTTGCTCTTATTTAAGATAATGGTGGCACCCTGGAATTTTTGGTCATTTCAAGGTTATCTTAGCATATTCCATTTTCAGCATCATAGAACACTGCTCTTTTGTTGCTTTTTGTTAGCTTTAAACTAATATTGATTAGAAAAACAGTCCCAGTCAGTTTTGAAGTGGACTTTCATTGGGATCCGTTCTTCTATCTTCTCTTTGAAGTACTGACTTTTAAGTAGTCATAGATACCTAATTTAAATGAAGATAGGTCTTGCCAAGTATGTGACTCAAAGGACTTGTCTGAATGGATGAACTGACTGGTGCAGCTGCTGATGTATCAAAATCTAAGTTATAATCCTTAAGTCAACCACTAAAAAGTAACTAAAAAAATACAGTGGAGGTGAAGGAAATGACAAAGAAGTAACAGGAGATTTGACTATACTTCACACAAATATGATCGTAGTTGAATGGGTGGGGGCGTGAGACAAGAAAGCACTAAAATAACAAAGATATGATTACACAACCTAATGAAAAGGCAAAGACAGACAGAATTGACAAAGAAAAATAGTCCAGCTTAATGCTATATATTGGAGATACACTTAGTTTTCTTTGTTTTTGTTACAAGATTTAGAGATCAAATCCACTAAGTCCCAGTACGCAGGCTTGGCAAGCACTCTACAGCTGAGCTGTGTCCCCATCTCTGAGACACACTTTGGGTTAAAAGACATAGATATGTTGACAGTGAGAATTTGGAAGAAGATATACATGCAAACAGAGATGAAGAAAGCTGAGTGACTAAGGACACCAGGCAGAGTAGACGGAGATCAGACATGTAAAGAAGTATGTTATCCAATGATAAATAGCGGAGCCTAAGGAGAAGATATGGCCCTGTGGATGCCCCAGGCAACAAGCAACAAAACACTTGAAGGGGCAAATAGACAGTGTGACGCAGACAGTTGGAGACTTAAAAAAGCAGGTTCCTGACTCCCAGTTGTTTAGCCTCTGTGTCCCCAAGTGTAGGGTAGTAGTGAGCACCTTTTCCAGAGGACTACTGTGAAGGCAGTTTGTCACATAAAAGGTGCAGCATGGTTGACATGTCACCATTCTTTTACTATGAGCCCTGCCCCCGTTAGATAAAGAGTTGAGGATTAGTTAGGGACAGTAAGTTACCCAGCGTTTCAAAGCCAGAAAGAGCTACATCTCTTGGCTTCAGAAACCAGGCTGCTGTACCCTGCCTAAGCTTGCATCTGTGTTTCAGGCAGCTGTGTCTGAGACGCTGGGCCTCCTGCGGAGCCTTCCCAGTGGTCCTGGGCACACAGACATGGAGGCAGTACTATTTCTGCCGGTCTGAGCTGGAGTTCCGTGTGGAATCTGGGCGGCCACGGGACTTCATCAGCAAAGCTATTTCTGGGCACGCAGGTATGAATGTAATAGCCATGTCCACTCCCACTGCCCACCCTCTTCTGGTCAAATCTCAGGGAATCGTGGCATCTCAGCTAATGGCTTGGCAAGTGCCACTTGATGAATGCAGGGCTTGCTGGATGCTGTGTCATGGGAGGAAGGAGTGGATGTCACCTCCTTTTCAGAGTAGACTGGAAAACTCAAATAGGGCAAGCCAGGCCTCTGGTTATAACTGGGTTCTGCTCTCGGAAATGTTCACCCACCAGCTGCCTGGGTATGAATTACTCCCAGTCTCTTGCACTCATTGTGTTCCTGAAACTGGAGAAGAGGAACAGTTGTGTATCAGATCTGAGTCTATCTGTGTGTGTGCTGTCTTCCAGGAAAGATAGATCAGCTGGCCTATGTCTCACCCCATGAGTACCGCTTTGATGAAATGGCAAGGTCCGTGGTTTGCACTGTGTCTTCAGACTGTACCGTCCGTGCCTGGGATCTTCAACAGGTGAACTGCCCACCCCCCCACCCCCGGTGGAAGGGTCCCTACTGTGTCCTTGGTTTGATCATCTTAATGCAGAGTAGGAGCCCCAGTTTGAAGATGAGAAATCTGAGCTCTGTCATCAGCTGTCACCAGTAGAACATTCTGGTAACAAACATGGAGGGCTTTTGAAATTTGAGTGTAACCCATCTCACGTGACACATGCTCAGCTTCCTCTTGGAACCAAACTTTGCCGGTGGTGGTGGTGGTGGGGCTGTTGTGCCCTGTGCCCGGGATGACAGCTGTTCTGCCATTCCTCACATTTACTACAAGCCACTTAGTCATGAGTCTCCATGCTGGAACTCATGCTGCCCAAGTTTTGCAAGATGACAGCTTTTGGTCACCCCCAGGTGTGTGCACATCAAACTGGACAGCTGCCCTAGAATTTTAAACTTCGTTAGTGCTGGTGCAGATGTAAAAATGGAAGACTTTTAGAGTGGTCTTTGTTTGTTTGTTTGGAGATGGGATCTCACTCTGTAGCCCAGGCTAGCCTAGAACTTGCGGGATATTCCTTCTGCCTCATGCATGTGCGTGTGCGCGTGTACACACACACACACACACACACACACACACACACACACTAATGACTAAGTAAATAATTTAAAAAGAAGTTGAGGGTTGGGCTTTCCTTAGTTTGAGCTTGCCAAAAGAAAATTGAAGGCCTTGCTGTATGGACCAGCAGTGTTTTCTTTAAACAACGAGACAGAAATATTTTACCCTGCTTAGGCCAGAATCTCTGTCATACTAACTACTTAACTCTGCTGCTGTGATACTAAAAGAGCTACAGTATATAAACAGGTGAGATTAGCATACTCCAATAATACATGATTTCATTAAATATTCTGTTTTTAAAACAAATACAAAAATACTCAATGGCCAGTGTGGCTGCAGGCAGGCCATGATGTACCAGATATTGAATTAGTACTCCGTTATTTCCAGTGTGGGACACCTCAGACTGCCAGAAGCCCTTCCTGCCATTTGACCTGGCTTCCCAACCTTAGTCCTGTTTGAGCAGATCTTCAGCTGCAATTTCTTCCTTAAAGATTCATTTGCTAACATTGGTGCTGTGTGGCATTGAAACTTGCTTCCCGGTTGCACAGGATTTGTGTGTGCTCGTTGTAGGCATTTGAGGGTGTGTGACCCACAGCTGGCTTCTTTGCGTGTTTTTGTGCCTTGAAAGCTCCTAAAACAAAAATGGCAGGCTGGGACTTTAGCTCAGTGGGACAGCATTTGCCTGGCATATATGGCACTTGGGGTTCAATTCCTAATTTAGCATGAGGGCTAAAGTCACTTTAATTAAACAATAAGAAATTAATTAATTCAAATTAACAGTCTCTATCCCTTTCCCTAATCCTTCAAAATAACTGTTAACAATTTGGCTTTTCTCCTGCCTTTTTCTTTGGCTTTTTGATACCAGGTTGGATTTTGCCCTGTAGTCTTGCTAGCCTGGAACTTATAGCAATCCTCCTGCCTCCTCCTTCCTGTCACTGGGATTGCAGGCCTGAGATACCATGCCTGGCTTATTTTACTTGTTTTTATAATTCCTCTGCTTCTACATCCAGATATCGGATTCCTTAAGCATTTTGTAAAGGTTTGCTGTGTGTCTGTGAGGTCATGGGGGTCAGAAGAGGGTATCAGATCCCTGAGAGCAGCCCAGGACCCCAGCTCATCAAATTAGCTCAGTTAACCTAATCTCGAAACTCACTCTCACACACCACAGAGGTCTGTTTCCTTGGTGATCCTAGAACCATTCATAGATACATCACATGCTTTCATCTATGCTCCCTCCATGGAACCTGGTAGAGTAGGCCCTGGGAAACCTGGGCCAACTCATGAAAATAATTTATATCTCTGAAATAAATGGGCCAGTCAGTTATGTTAATTTTGTTGTTGCCAGGGCACAGAGATCTGGTCCAGCCCTGTGCAGCCTGCTCCTCTGGTGAGTTTGGTGGCCTATCCCCTGCTGCAGTTGGTTGTCACAGTGGACACACAGGGCTTGATCATTGGTTGGAAAGCGGATACTGGGTCTGAGTGGGCCTCGTTCTGCCTGCCGACCTCCTGCTCGTCCATGGAGGCCTGTGGCCACCCAGAGGGCCCCTTCTTGATGGTGAGTGATCCCACTCTCAGGAGCCCCACAGGGCCCAAGCACCTCTTTGTCTAAGCCACTGTGATGGGGGTGTCTGGGTCCCTCTTCACAGCAGATCCTGCTCCTGACATTCCAGCAGGCTCCTCTCTCCTTCAGACTTCCATGTGGCATCAGCCTTTCTCTGTAGCCTCCTGTGGTGGGAAGCTGCTGCGTGGAGTCCTTGTGTTTGTAGCCACGTGGTCTTGCTTTCTTGTGTGCTGAAGTCTTTCTTCTACCTGTGGTTTTTCTTCACTCATTCATTCTTACCAGATTTTTATGGGGAACTTGGCTCCTGGCCATGGAGGATGGGACTGCCAGCCGACACTGGGCTTCCTGACACTCCTCTGGTTTTCAGCTCGATGATGTCTGTCCTTCCTGTGCCTCTACAGCTGCCTTCAAGAGCTCTCACCCTGGGGTTGCAGCGGGTTAGATTCAGGCTCCCTACCTTGGGTTTCTTCTCTGCACTCAGGGCCCCACAGTTCCTGGATAATTCCCCTGCATCATACAATGACGTGATGAGTCTTCCCCAGCATTGACTTATCCACTGGAGAAATCATGCTGTCACCCAAACCTGCAGCTGGGTGTGAGGGGTGTGGGCTTGTCTTGAGAATAAGATGAGTAGTCCTCGTCACCAGATGAGGCCTGGCTTACATACATACATACATACATGCATACATACATACATACATACCTGGCTTACATACATACATACATACATACATACATACATACATACCTACATACAT